CATAAAGACCATAAGTAGTCTCATATCAAATTTCCTCAGGTTTGGCTGCCAAAGGACATTGCCACCAACTTCGGAAAACTCTTGAAATTCAAAGCTTTTTGGATTTGCAGAGAAAGGATTATGAATCTGCAAGATTTTAGCGCCATTGTTCAAATGTCCATTTTCTCCAGATTCTCTCAAGTTAGAACCTCAACAGTTTCCATTTTTTCTTCCTCTCTGAAAGTTTCTGATTTTCTGTATGCCATTTTCAAACTCTTTTTAACCCCACCTGCTCTCTATTTCTCTAACACATCAAAATGGAAAGAAAGTGGCTTTGGTACCCAATAGATACGAGTTCAAATCCAGCTTCTGCTGCTGAGAGTATGACTTTATTCTGACTGGTGGTATTACCAGTTTGAGGGAAGAATAAATCAAATCTCAATGCCACTGAGTCGATTCCAACTCATAGCAACCCTACATGGCAGAGTAGAGATGCCCCATAGAGTTTCCAAGGATAGAAATCTTTGTGGAAGCAGACTGCCACATCTTTCTTCCTCGGAGTGGCTGGTGGGTTCAAGCTGCCAATGTTTGGGTTAGTAGCCCAAGTACATGGGGGACACAGAGAAGAACTGAGTAACTATTACCTTCCCACGCACACACACATTCTTCGCTTTGCATCCTAAATTACTACCAACTTCCTGCTTAATCCAGCCCTCCTCAGCATGTGCTCATGTGTTTCTGAAGCCACATGTCCCCTTTCTTCTCAGCCTGTCTGGACTTCCTGGCAGATCTTGTCCAGAAATGTACTGATTATTCCTAGCTACCACTTCAGCACTCATGCAGTGTGGCCAGAGAAGGCACATCCTCTTCACAGCTACTGTTACAGTCAGCCACTTGGTTGTGCAGCTGATAGACACAGCTGCAAGATGAATTGCTTATGTAGACACGGGATTATCAATAAGGACCTTCCACAGGAATAGCTGGTAAGCAATTTGAGAGTTTGTGATTTGATGATATCCAAAAAATAAAGTCTGAATAAGGAGCCCTGGTGGTGCAATGCTTAAGCACTCAGATGCTAACCGGAAGGTTGGCAGTTTGAAGCCACTAGCTGCTAGTGATTACCAAACTCCTTGCCATTGGGTCAATGTCATCTCCTAGCAAACTGATAGAACAGAATGGTACTGTCCTACAGAGTTTTAAGGCTAAGAATTTTTTTTGTTTTTAATTGTGATTTCAGTGAATGTTTACAGGGCAAGTTGTCTTTCCATTCAACAATTCACACACTTTTTGTTTCGTGACATTAAATACAATCCTCACAATGTAACAACATTCTTCCCACTTCCTTCCTGTTTACCCTTTGCCTTCTCCTGCCTTCCGAGCTTTATCCCTGGGCAAACGCTGCCCTATTGATCTTGAATGGCTGATTGTTCTAGAGTTGTACCTCCCTGGTGTTTGGATTTTGTTTTTTTCAATTGTGCTTTCGGTGCAAATTTACAAAGCAATTTGTTTTACATTTAACAGTTCATGCTCATTTGATTTCATGGCCCCATTACCATCCCCAGCCATACAAAAACTCTCCTCCCCTCCCGTTCCTGTGACCACCCCCTCCCTGGGCCCTTCTTATCTGTGCATCCTGTCTGTCCAGCTTTCCCTCTGTGTGAATGCTGCCCCTTTGGTGTCTCATGGCTGATTGATCTAAGGGGTGCATCTCCTTAGAGCAGGTGGGTGCATCGCCCTGGGGTAGGTGTTCTGCATGTAAGTCTTTCTACTGTTGGGCTAAGAGACAATCAATGGAAGTGAGTCCATTTCTAGGCCCAAAGGATAACCCGGGGCCACAGTCTCGAAGGTTCCACCAGTCTCTATCCAATCAGTAATTCTGGTCATTTTTGTGTTTTTGAATTTGTTCCACATTTTCCCTCCCGCTCTATCCAGGATCTCCAGTTTTGATCACTTTCCGAATGATTGGCATTGGTAGCTGAGCATCATCTAGTTTTTCTCATCTCAAGGTCATGAAAGTTGAGGTCTTCATGGTCCATCTTATCCTTGGACTAATTGTTTCCAGATGCCTTTGATTTTCTTCACTCTTCTTTGCTTCAGATGAAAGGAGACTAATAGTTGCATCATTGATGGCCACTTGAAAGTTTTTAAGACTGCAGTCACTACTTACCAAAGTAGGTTGTGGAACAAGATTTTTATGTACTATGTTGTGCCAATTGAGTGTGATGTCCCTCAAAACTATGGTCCTAAGTCTGCATGTACCTCCTTGGTTTTACTGTTCATCTTACACGTCTCTCTATTATTTGGCTGAAAGTTGAGCCATGGGGGTGAGTTCAGTTCCAGGCTTCAAAGGTGTTTAAGGGCCATAGTCTTGGGAGTTCCACAAGTCTCTATCACACCGGTAAGTCTGGTCTACTTTTTTGTTGTTGTTGTTGTTATGTGCCGTCGAGTCGGCCCCGACTCATAGCGAGCCCTCCTTGGGTTTCCGAGGCAGTATCACTACGGAAGTAGGATTGCTCAACCTTCCTTCCGAGGAGTGGCTGGTGGGTTTGAACCGCCAGCCTTCTGGTTAGCAGTCAAGTGCCTTAGGCACTATGCTACCAGAGCTCCTGGTCTACTTTATGATTCTGAATTTTGTTCCACATTTTCCTCCCACTCTATCTGGGACCTCCTATTGTGACCCCTTGCAAAGTGGTTACCAGTGGTAGTTGGGTACCATCTAGTTCTTGTGGTCTCAGGGTCATCGAGGCTGGGGTTCATATGCTCCACTAGTCCTTTGGACTAACTATTTCCTTGTGTCTCTGATTTTCTTCACTCTTCTTTGCTTTGGGCGAAGAGAGACCAATAGTTGGATCTTAGATGGCATTCACAAGCTTTTAAGACACCAGGTACTACTCACCAAAGTAGGATGTAGAACAATGCTGTTCTGAGCTATGCTATGCCAACTGGTCTTAGTGTACCCAGAAAACTATGGTTCTGGAGGGCTGTAACTCTTTTATAGAAGCAGACTGCCACATCTCTCTCCCAGAGTGGCTAGTGGGTTTGAACCACCACCCTTCCAGTCAGTAGCCAACTGTTTAACTACTGCACCACCAGAGCTCCTTCCAGTAAAGATTACAACCTAGGAAATTCTATGGAACAGTTCTACTCTGTCACATGTGGTCGCTGTAACTCAAAATCACCTCAAAGTCACATAAAAGCACAGGCTGAATAGGATTTTCCACATTATTCTTATTGATGAGCCCTAACAAATCAGGTAGTCTTTCTTACTCTCAGAAGTAAGGCTTGAGAACTGTAATAAATAACGCTGGGGTGCCTACACCCCATTCGTCAGCACCTAGCACCAGATGACAATGAAAGCAGGCTCCCAAGGTCCCTGTACCTTTCTGGCATTATTGAAAAAGCAGAGCAGGTATTCTCCCCAGCTGTACCATGGCTGGCCTGAGGGGAGTGGGGACCCACAGCTCCAAGCTCTGCAGGTAAGATTTAAAAGTCTCCTCAAAACCAGAAGGCTGGCAGTTCAAACCCACCAGCCACTCCTTGGAAGGAAAACTGGGCAATCTACTTCCATAGAGACACCACCTCAGAAACCCAAGGAGGGGTCGCTATGAGTCAGAATTGACTCAGTGGCAGTGAGTTTGGTTTTGGTTTTTTTTCCCTCAAACCAAAGGAGCGTCGGATCGCATTTCTGAAAAGCTTCTATGAAAGAAACCCTATGTTCTGTCACTACATCATTCCACTTCTAATGATCGTATATTTTCCTAAGAGAAATCCCCTCTATTGGTTGAAACAAATAAGAAACATATGATCTGATCTCTGTACACCTTAAGAAAATAAGCTAAAAATGCCAAGAAATGGGCACTTTATACAAGGCACAGTATTTTACAGGTTTTGTGTACAAGTAAAAGAAAAACTAACTACTATCAAGACTGTCTTGGATGAAGCACAGCCAGAATGCTCCTTGGAAGTGAGAATGGCCAGACTTCGTCTCATGTACTTTGGTCATGTTGTCAGAAGGGACCATTGCCTGGAGAAGGATGTCATGCTTGGTAAGGTAGAGGGTCAGCAAAAAAGGGGAAGACCCTCAATGAGGTG